GTGTCAGTGCTGGGAAAAGTAATGGGCAAAAGGGTGGCAAGAGGACCGGAAAAAGTGGTGGTGGTGGCGGCAGATCAAAAGTGACTCTGCTGGGTGGGGGGGATAGTTGTGGTCAGTTATGTTTGTAAACCCCTTTGCACAGCAATCCTGACTGCCTCTTTAACCCACAACACCACCCTACCCCTTTTTAGCCATCCTTACACACAGGGAAGTGGGCAACCAACACCCCTCCTGTCCTTTCACCAACCCATCTTGCCACCTGTACCAACCCATCTTGCCACCCCCCAGTATGGCCACCCTTACACACAACAACCCTTTCCTCTGGCCATCCTAGCCCACATTGGAATGTCCCACATCCAGGCCTTCATATGGCCATCTTTACCAACTCACCCACAACAGTACCCTATTAGGACCTTTCCTGTGACCCACACCACCAATCAGTGTCCTTGACACCTTCAGCTACGTGCTGTACTCATTTCTTCCATATACATAAGATTATACTACATATTAAATATTTATGTGTAGCCAAATTATACATACAGTGCTCAGCATAAATGAGTACAGCCCTTTGAACAGTAAGATATTAATCAGTATCTCAGTGAACACAAGAACAATTTCCAAAATTTTGACAAAACCGAGTTTTATAGAACATTTGTTAAGCTCATTACATGGAAGTCAAGTAAATAATATAGTTATAATTCATGTCATAATATAGAAGTCATCTGCTTCTTAATAATTCAGTGCTTGGGGCCTAAGCTGTCATTTGGCAGGACCTGGTGGTGTTGCATGGAAGCAGGAGTCTTGCCATTCAGTGTGCAATTGTCAAGGATACTAGGCATTGTCAACAATTTCAAGAGACTTGGCAGAGATGGTGACAGGTGGTGGAGCAGTAGTAAAGGAAAGACACTGGAGAGTACCTAGCACAGCCTAAAGGGGTGAAAGGGGACTGCTTTTATAACACAAGAACCTCCCCCTTCAAATCATATGTCAGATTTCTCCAACTGATCATATTTCCAAAAAGAGAATAACCATTATTCCTAGCATTTTTTATATCATCTGGTGCTAACAAATAGTCCCACATATTTACATTGGCTAGTTCACCTGTATAGGACTGATTAACATCAAACATACCACCAAAGCTATCTTGATCCTGCCCCAAGATGACACTAATCTGTTGGCCTATAGGCAACTTAGTTCCCACAACTCTCCTTGGGTAGGCTTTTCCATTAATCCACAGCTGGACCACTCCAGTACTGGAGTCATAAGTGACACAGATATGGTTCCATTCAAGAACCCCTGCATCTATTTGGAATGAAATGAGTTCTTGATGTACATGAATGGCGCAGATATTTGGTGGTCTTTGTATAATAAGAAACATATTATCCATTTCCGGTGTGGCTAGAGAGAAGAGGGCATGCTCTCGCTGAAGTTCAGTGTAGGAGCTCACACAGACTGTTAGTTTGTATAGGGGTATTTCAGCTATCGGTTTCAGGACAACTCGATCAATGTTTGATGCCTTTGGGAAAATAATGACCTTGCTCAGCATATCTAGGAGACAAAAAAGGAGAAAAAAAAACAATACTATAATATCAGATTAATCATTTAAGGCCCGTCTTCGATGAAGTATAAGACTGTTTAGACTGTTTTCTCTCTGTACTGCACATTGCATACTCCTGACTGCTCCGCACTGTACTGTACGTTATATACTCCTAACCACTTTACTCTGTGTACTGTACTCTAGCTTACATACTGCAGACTGCTCCACTTTGTGCATTGCACTTTACATTACATACTCACTCCTGACTGCACCAGTCTGTACTCTATATAGTGTGCTATATGTCGTTCTTTACATACTCCAAATTCCTCTGTTTTATACACTGTACTCCTGACCACCAAAACTACGCTGTGCATCTTCAAATTATTAAGGTTGCTCCCTTGTTTTTTATTAGGCAGGGAAAAAAAGGCTGGGGGAAGGGGGGGACATAAGAAAGTTTTGTCCTGTGTCCATCAGTGGCTTAAAGAAGCCCTGACTACTGCCTGCAGCCTCTGTAGTGGTTTGTCACACTACATAATATAAAAATATATCTGCTAAATTCCTGTTAACTCTACTTACCTTTCTGTCCAAAGCATGCTGAGAAGAAGATGAACCAACTGAGAAGAATCTCCATCTTTCTAGAAAAAAAAAATCTTTTTTCACTTTATCTGACATTGTACTACAGTATATAGCAGGGCTCAAAGTTTAAAGTCCTAAACTACTAGCCAGGCCTTAAAAGTTACTCGCCACCAGTTGCCCCACCCCCTACCCTGCCCCGGACTTAACTCCGCCAGGTCAGTAATGTAACGCACAGCGCAGAGGTCAGAGTGACGCAGAGGTCAGTGTGACGCACAGCGCAGAGGTCAGTGTGGCGCACAGCGCAGAGGTCAGAGTGACTCACAGCGCAGAGGTCAGTGTGACGCACAGAGCAGAGGTCAGTGTGACGCACAGCGCAGAGGTCAGTGTGACGCACAGCGCAGAGGTCAGTGTGACGCACATCGCAGAGGTCAGTGTGACGCACAGCGCAGAGGTCATAGTGACGCACAGCGAAGAGGTCAGTGTGACGCACAACACAGAGGTCAGTGTGACGCAGAGCGCAGAGGTCAGAGTGACGCAGAGCGCAGGGGTCAGAGTGACTCACAGCGCAGAGGTCAGAGTGACGCACAGCGCAGGGTCAGTGTGACGCACAGAGCAGAGGTCAGTGTGACGCGCAGCGCAGAGTTCAGTGTGACGCACAGCGCAGAGGTCAGTGTGACGCACAACGCAGAGGTCATAGTGACGCACAGCGAAGAGGTCAGTGTGACGCACAGCGAAGAGGTCAGTGTGACGCAGAGCGCAGAGGTCAGAGTGACTCACAACGCAGAGGTCAGAGTGACTCACAGCGCAGAGGTCAGAGTAACGTACAGCGCAGGGTCATTGTGACGCACAGAGCAGAGGTCAGTGTGACGCACAGCGCAGAGGTCAGTATGGCGCACAGCGCAGAGGTCAGTGTGGCGCACAACGCAGAGGTCATAGTGACGCACAGCGGCGATCGTTCGCTTGTGTTCTCTCTTCTCCTTCTCGGCCGCTCTGTAGCTACAGCGGCCGTTGAGAAGAGAGAACAGAAGCAAGCAATCGCCGCGGCGATACTGTCCCATCTCTGGTCCCGCCGGCGGCGCTCCTCGATGAGATTCCACTCACACCCCCCTCCCCCCCCACCGCAATTTTCACTCGTCAATTGCGAGGGGGCGAGTGGAAATTTTGAGGCCTGGTATGTAAGAGAAAAAGCATACCTATTGTGAGCGAATGTTTACTCCACGTGGACCTAGCATTGAATATATATTTTTAGCCCATGGCGAGTCAATCTAGAATGCTGATAAGGTACATTTTTGGTTTCTAAATTACCACAGAGGATGGGAAGTTTAAAAAAAAAGCAGCCTGTCGATAAATTGTGTCATCTGACAGCTCCATATTATGTACCAGAATCCAGCTTCTTCATGGGAGCATCTAACTGTCACATCTATCTGAAGACAGTTTATATAGTGCCAGTAAGTTTGGGGCACAGTTTGTTACTTACAGCTGGAGAAATGGATGGATGAATGGATGGATATTTGGATGGATAGATGGGTGGACGGATACATGGATGGCATTGGACAGATAGATGGATGGATGAATACATGAATGGTTATTGGATGCATAAATGGATGGATAAATACATGGATGGTTATTGGATAGATGGATAGATGGATGAATGAACAGATGAATGGATGGATAGATGGATGGATAACATATGGATGGTTATTGAATGGCAAGATGGATGGATGAATACATGGATGGTTATTGGATTGATAGATGAATGAATGGATAGATGAGTGGTTATTGAATGGATAAATGGATGGATAAATGAATGGATATTGGACGGATAGATGGATGGATGAATGAATAGATGGATGGCGTTATATAATATTAATAATAATAATAAAAGAAAAGGTGATTTTTAGGGATGCACCAAAATGAACTTTTTTGACCGAAACAGAAATGTAAAAATTTTGCAGGTGGAAACCCAAAATTACCTTTATTTTCCAACCTTTTTAAAATGTTTTAATTATTTTATTATTTATTTATTTTACTGTTAGAGGTTTTGGGGAAATAACAGGGGTCTAAACAGATCAGCAATTGCCCATAGTACAATTTTCGTCAATTATTTTCCAGCGGCCAAAATCTTGGTGCATCCCTAGTGATTTTGTTGATTAAAACCCACTGGATATAAAAATAACATTATAAATATTTAAATTTAAAATACATACAGAAAGATCAGAGCTCTAGTACAGAATTAATATCTGTACTCACCTGATCATTTGTCATTTAACAAGAAAGTTGAGTTTGAACTGAAGTTGGCGGATACCCTGACTCTGAAAGAGATGTTGGTGAAATTGGGACAGGTGCTCAGTAAAATAGTACTAATATTTGAAGATAACTCATCAATAACAGTTCAGTGTGATATTAATTCTGTACTAGAGCTCAGGATCTTTTAGTGTATAAGTGATAAAAGCAATGCTTTCAGGCCATCACCATTGTTATGTAAGCCAGTAAGAACACAGATCTTACCTTGTTTCCTCACTCCGTCTTGTAACTTCCAGATGAGTACGATCCGACAATTTATATACCCAGCACCACATCTAGGTAAATTCTGATGACAATGCAACCATTGATCCAAACCTGGGTAACACAATATAAGCGGAAAGAGGAAATAAAGATCTTCACTATGTTATTTGAGATTCTGCATCCAACAGTTTATCATGGATTTGGAAATTTACTCCAGCACCATTTTTAAACCCTTGGTTCTCAACTGATGGGTCGTGACCCAAAAGTGGGTTGCGACCCCGTGTTCAGTGGGTCACCTTCCACTTTTCTAGGTGAGATTCTCCTCTGACTCCCCCTATTGCAGCACTGTCAGTTCTCAGGCCAAGCAGCCATTCAAAATATGCTGCCAAGTGCCGAGTGTCAGCTTGTGGTGGGATGGGCTGGGGATATTGCCACGAGGGAGTTCCATTCATACGTGCTTACAGTTCCCTCACATGTCTTATAAAGGTGCCATGGTGACGTCAAATTCTGGCTCCCGGCACCTCTACAGGGAACGCAAGGGAGCTGTACAAGCAATGCACATTTGGATGGAGCTCCTTCGCAGCACAGCAGCCCACACTGGACCCCAGGATGAGAAGCCACTCCAGTTCTTGTAAGGTAGGGAGACTGGGTGGACCTTAAAATAAATAACATGACAATTTTTTTAGTGTGTATGTGTGTGTGAGAATGTCTGTGAGTGTGTGAGATTGTGTCTGTGGTTGTGTATGTATGTCAGTGTTTTTAAGGGCCTGTTCACACTAGTACAGTGCGTTAATCACATAGTACCATGCGATTAACGCACTGTACCACGCTGTTGCATCTACTGTGCATTCTGGTGTGGGAGGCTTGCCATTCATTTGAATGGTACCCAAAACCCACAATTCATACACCCGCACCAGAACGCGCGGTACCCTAATGCCGTGCGTTCCATTGCAGTGCGACTTGGGTTGCGACTTACTGACCAAAGACAAATGTGGGTCCCGAGTTTACACAAGTTGAGAACCACTGCTTTAAACTATACTCTGACTTTAATCTAAAAAGAATGTGTCTACTAGTTTCAGAGCTTAACGTTACCTATATCACTAATATCCAAATGAAAAAATAGTCATTACGACCTGTAAAGAAGACACCCACTCCTGCTGCCCGTGCCTTCGAATGCCACTATGATCAAGAGAAATACAGCTGAAGTCCTTCAGAAAACAAGACATCACCTGTGCCACTGCAGGCTATAGTAATGACACTTATGGCATAGGTATGGCAAATCTGAAGCAAGAAGCTCTCAATTTACAAAAAAAAATGTAAGTTTATTTATCTAAAGGGAAAATCAGCATATGTCCTATTCCTTTCAAACAAAACAAACTTTTTTTCATCTCAGCCTTCACATACAAACTTTAGAGACAAAATTCTCAGTTCACAAAAGTTAAATTGAACTTTCCATTTACATCAGCTAAATCAATTCTTGGTATAGCGAATACATTTTTTACAGTTCATTATTTCTAAATCAGCTACAGAGTAGGAAACTCTGTCCCCTGCCAGCAGCTACAGAAAAGGAGCCTTGCTCTCTGTGTAAAAACAAGGGTCTCACGAGTTCGCCATACAATGTCTTGATTCTGCCTCTTGACTGTATATTACTTGTGACAGTTTGGCCTGAATTGTTGTTATCTCAGCTACGCTATGTAAATTCAATAAAATACTTTGGAATTGAAAAACAAGGGTCTCTCTGCAGAGGTCCAACACACCCTTTGCTAAGTCAGACCTATAGTTCCGCAATTAGCAAAGTTCATGCTCCATGCCGATTGGAGAGTCCTGGCTCTGAGACAGTAGGGGACATTTCAAACCTGCCAAAAGACCCCTGCTTTACCGCAGAGAGCAAGGGCATCATTCTGAAGTTGCTGCCATGGGACAGGCTTTTCTACTGTGGATACTTTCTAAAGACAATGCACTCTAAAGGTGCCCATACACTTTACAACCATCGCAAGACTTTTGTCTTGCGCTGGTTGTAATCTAATTAAAAGCTCATACGATCTGCCCATCTTGGACAGGCAGATCGTACTTGCGATCATCGAAGGCTCGCCCCGCTAAGGGGCGGGCCTGCGATGACTGCATTGCCGAACGGGCAGTGTGCTCGTTCGCACACCGGCCCGTGCGGCATTGATCTTACGACCATGCTAAAAACCAGCCGAAAATCGTACGGTTCTCGGCTGGTTTTCCAACATGCTCATAATACAAAAGTCGTGCGACCGTACAGTAGAAACGGTCACACGCCTTCCATACACTGCACGATTCTCGTACGATCGCGGGATTTCCCACGATTCTCGTACGAGAATCGTGCAGTGTATGGGCACCTTTAGACTTTGGGCATATTTTGTTTTGATGCACATAGAATGTATTTAGTTGATTTAAGCTGAAGGTTTAACTGGGCCTTAAATATAAGGTTACTTATCCTGATGTATTAGCTTTGAGCCACTTCATTCCTGATCCAACAGTTGAAACATTACCACATTGTCTATTAAAAGAAACACTGTGGTCAAC